GGTCGGGGAACGGGTCCTGACTGTTGTCTGTGCTTATGCACCGAACAACAGTTCAGAGTACCCACCCTTTTTGGAGTCCCTGGGACGGGTGCTGGACAGTGCCCCGACCGGGGACTCCATTGTTCTGCTGGGGGACTTCAACGCTCACGTGGGCAATGACAGCGGGACCTGGAGGGGCGTGATTGGGAGGAATGGCCTGCCCGATCTGAACCCGAGTGGTGTTCAGTTATTGGACTTCTGTGCAGGTCGCAGTTTGGCCATAACTAACACCATGTTTAAACATAAGGATGTCCATCGGTGCACGTGGCACCAGGACAGCCTAGGTCGCAGGTCAATGATCGACTAAATTAATGACAACAACCAAAATTCACTCTTGTGCAACATTAAACAGACAGCAGGTATGATTCCAAAGAATTATATTTATTCACAAAGTAGCAAAGCAAAACCAAACACACAAATTCTAACTAACTATATACAACCTTGGTGTGTGTGTGTGTGTGTGTGTGTGTGTGTGCGCGCGTGCGTGCGTGCGTGTGTGTGTGTAAGAGAGAGAGAGAGAGTGAGAGAGAGAGAGAGAGAAAGACAAAGGCGGGTGTGGTGATCAAAGACAAAATGTCTGACAACAGAGAACTACAAGATGGCCGAATCAAAGCTGGCTTCAGATCGGGGGAGGTGTTTGTCTGACCGTGTGGTCAGGACAAAGACAAAGGAAAAGAAGCAGGAACTTTGAGATGCCTGTTTGGGTGTAGCTCTGTTGAAAGCATATTCGTTAATAAGTCTGTGTCAATGTGATTTGTGTTGCAAACGGTCTGGATTATTGCAGAGATTGTTTAGTTGTGTGCAAGAATCTGTTTGTGAACAGTATTAGCAAACCAAACACTTAGCCTTAGCCAACTAATTAATTACCTAAATGCAAACAATCACAACAATACCTCAATGATAGCATTAAATCACATACAACAAGTTAAACAGTCTTGCTTAGCCTGTAAAGCTGTGATAAAGCGATACCCAGTTGTTACTTTATTGATCCTTGAGTGGATGGGAGAAAGAGTCACTTGGTGGTGTACTGCTTTGTTAGCCGGCACAAGCAGGCTGGGAAGAGCTGTGGTTCCAGCTGCAGTCTTTGCTGTGTCCTTGTTCCAATGGTTCTGATCAGTCAGAAGCCAGTTGCTCGGGGTCCTTGCAGATTTCGACGCTGGGTGCTAAATCACTTAGTTTCTTGTTGCTGGAAAGCTAGTTGCAAACCTTGTGCTTGCAAGTCTAACCTCTCTGGTTCAGGTTTGCCTCAGCCTTGAGGTTGGGCAAGTCGTGGTCCAGGAAAAAGATAGTCTGTTAGCAATTAGCCCCACCTTTGATGGTTCAGGGCATGGAGCAATGGCCTGAACATCTGGGCTGTTCCAGGCCCAGCAGGAAAGAGGTGTGGGCTGCTCCCCAGTTCCAGTGTGAGAGCAGGACTGTTTGAAAGGAGCAGAACTTAGCTTAGAGTTTGGTGACATCACAGAGGGGCATGTCACTGTAACAGTACTGCCCAATCAAGCTTGATGAGTGGTGTGTCACTGAGGTGTGAGATGACCTCCTGTGGAGATGAGTGTTAAAGAGCTCTCTTTGTTTGAAGACAGAGAGCATGCAGAGAGGGAAAAGCCTGTCCAGTTTAGATGGCAGTATGACTCTGTGTTAAATGAGGGATTAAACATTTGAAATTATAACTCACTCATACGATGACCTACAAGAGTGGAAAAAAAATATTCAACTAAAAAACAAGGATTATGCACAGTTACAATTTTAGAACATGGATAAAATGTATAGTTTACTTTCAGGAGACATTTCAGGTTGGTTAACAAGAGAAACTCCACTCAGGAATTCATCCTGAATTTACGACTCCCACATCTGATGGTCTTATCTTATTTTCACCAGGGTGAGAGTAAAACGTTTGATCTTGGCACATGGGGGTCGCGGCTCTGGTCAGCCATGTTAAAGGGAAAAAGCATCAAGACTACCAAAACCCACTCAACAGAATGCCAGCGTCAGCACATATTTCAAAGCTGTCATAGCAAGGCCAGATATTGTTCCAGCTTTGCGTCTACTGTATGTGTAGACACAAAGGGATTCCATATCATATTCCACACTACGTTTTTGTTAGAATGCCTGTCTTAGGGCAAAGCACACTGGAGCAAGAGTGTCATGATAGTGTGCTATGGTTGTCTAACATTACTTATATTAAACAGGGTTCCTGCAGGTCCTTAAAAAGTCTTAAAATGTCTGAAAATAAAATCCGGGAAATTAAGGTCTTAAATTGTCTTGAATTTACCGTTAATTTGCTGTAGGTGTTGTCAGTGAGAGACTCCGCTATGAACATCAGTTTAACGGTATGTCAGCTACAGACGTTGACGTAAGACTGTGTGTCGCCATTTTGTTGTTGTCAAGGTGAGCGGTCAAAAAAGACTCTTTCTTTAGGGACCATGGGACTCAAAGTCGTCGAGTTGCATAAGAAAGGAGGAAAGCACCAGCAGTACATGGCAGCAACGAGCCATAGCGGGGACAGGCTAATCCCTGTATTGTTTGCAGCACGACCTAACGTTACAAGTAGACTTGCACTGATTAATTGGCAGTGCTCGGAATCGGGCTGGTTTTCACGTGATCGGCCATGACCTGCGACCAGCCAGTCAGTCTAAAATATGCCGATTTAAAACGCTGGTCAAATTCCTGGCGCGCCACATGATTGACATCGCGTAATATCAGCAGCGCACACACACACACATGTGCAACTCACGGCTTGGGCGATGTGAGGAAGGGGACCTCAGGGACACACTGGTTTGGGTAGGACAACTATGGAGTAAATGATTCCGGCCAGAGAATCAGGTTCGAAAGGATACTTTAATTTTCAATGACAACAACAAACAAAGACAAACTGAAAAACACACAAAGTTGACATGCTAACCAAATTAAACTCACTCTACTGTAAGTGAAACACGGGCAGCTTCTCACCTTAATCATTGATGCACACACATCAAAAGAGAGAAGGAGAAAGTTGTTAATTGTCCGTGTTAAACTTAACTGTGGAGCTCTCACTGCTAAACTGTGCCGCTTGAAACTGACGAGGCGCGTGTCCACGTGCAGAAGATGCGCGTGTCTGCGCGCTTACTGGCAGGCGCGTCCTGAAGGCCTGTGTGAATTTTCCACAGGCGATATTTTTACTTTTTGTCTATTCAAGAAATTACCTACAAATGCTATACACCAAGAATTATTATTTTATTTATCTGTGTTTTTATTTATGTATGCCTTTTTTACTTATTTATTTTAATACTGTACCTGAAGTTATATTTGAGCAAAAAGGAAAATGTTTCTTAACCTGTGTCACCGTTTTTGTTTGTTTGTTTGAGATGATTATTGAAAAGCTGGTTGAATCTTGCTTAAAATGTTCTAATAAAGGAAAGATAGAAAATATTGCAATATCTTGTGTGCTGTAAAGTGGTTTGAAAAAAATGAAATCGGAATCGGCCATCCAAACACTCTGCAAATCGGAAATCTGTATTGGCCCAAAAAATTGTTATCAGTGCAAGTCTAGTTACAAGTTCAGACTCCATCACCACCTCCCATTCGGCTATGAGAAGCTTCATTTCACTGCCAGAGACCCAAAAGGCAGAGGTACTGTGGGTTCTCCACACTGTGATGAGGCACAATTCATTTAAATCTAACGAGGACATAAGTGGCGTCTTTGCTGCCATGTTCCCCGTTTTGCAGGTTGCAAAGACATTCACCTGTGGTGAAAATAAAATGGCATATGTCGCCAAATATGGCATCACTTCATTCATCAAGAAGAAGCTTTCCTGCAGCGTTAGTGAGAAGCCATATGTTATCAAGTTTGATGAAAGCATGAATAAATCGAGAAAGACCTTCATTTGCGGTTTTGGACTACTGATGATGAGACCGGCACACACCATGTCATCTCCTGCTACTATGGGTCGGAGTTCAGGGGTCACTCAAGAGCCGAGGACATGTTGGGACATTTCAGTGTAAGTAACATTACAATTGTGTTTGAAATCGCATACTATACAATGTGTGGTGTAAAATTGAGTATCGTTAGTGCAGTCCAAAGCCCCTATGCTAGCGGTGTAAACACCAACACTCCCCCGGTTCTCAGTGCTCACTATCCGGGCAGAGTCAGCAGAGGACCACTAGATACATGGCTAACTGAGATAACTGGCTAACGGCAGCTACAATTAGCAGCAGTTCTTTGAAAGCATAGCTTTACAAACTACCAATTACCTCACACTGGAAGAAGTTGAACTACAGCAAAGCTACCCTAGGGATAAATCTAGTATGGTTATTTAATTTTATTTTTCAAATAGCACCAAATCACAACAGAGGTCATATAAGGTCACCGTTCCCATAGAACAGGTCTAGACCATGTCTTTTTATTAAACAAACTAAATAGCCTTATGTTATTTATCTTATTTATGCAATTTCATTTAATTTTCTGTCCCCCACCCCCCAAGCAGTAAACCTAGGGTACCAATTATGTAATGATTAATGTTAATTATTGTGTGTGTGTTTGTGTATGCCCGCATTGTATTGTTATTTATTGTATATGTGTGTGTGTGTGTGTGTGTGATTTAGTATCTGTATGTGTCTATGTGTATATAAGCAAGAAATCATTAGAATAACAAATAATAACAAAAGAATAATTGCTGTTATCACAATTAAGTTGTCTGGTGTTTTGATGGATGTTTTTGATCTCTCTCTCTGTGCTATATAAGAAAAACCATTATTATTAGTATTAATATTAGTATTATTATTATTATTATTATTATCGTCATCATTACACTAATGGAACCTTAACCTAATATGGTTTACTTGGCACATTGAATTGGTGATTTCCTCTTTTTTTCCAAATGTGCAGGAATGTACAAAGGAGCTGAATTTGAACAACATGCTCTCACTGTCAATGGATGGGCCCAGTGTTAATTGGAAGTTTGTTGAACTCTTATAAGAGGAACACAGAGAGCAGTTTGGTAGAGCGCAACTACAAATAATTGGGAGTTGTGGCCTTCACACAATGCACAACTTGTTCAAGAATGGCTTCGGGTGTGGCAAGTTGAGAAAGTCCTGAAAGCCCTGCACTACCTGTTTCATTGTGCACCTGCAAGGAGGGAAGCCTTTGTGTTAGTGACCAAGTGTGATACATTTTCTCTGACATTCTGTGGACATCGTTGGCTGGAAAACCTTCCAGCAGTGGAGAGAGCCATTGAAATTTGGCCATATATCGTCTCCTATGTGGATCAGGTCAAAGCCAAGAAGCTCCCCAATCCAAGGTCATCGTCATATGACAACATCGCAGAAGCCCGGATGGATCCCATTATCCTGGCAAAGTTGCACTTCATGAGTGTCAAGAAGTTTTCAACCTTTTCTCACCAAGTACCAGACAGATGCCCGATGATTCCCTTACCCAGCAGAGATTTGGAGGATCTAATCAGGGTAGGCCTAACGACTACTAAAAATGTATAAATGGTTTAGTCATTCAAGCATCATTATTTACAGAGGATATGAACAATAAAACAAAGTAATGAGTTTTCAGCATGTTGATGTTTGTAGTAAGTATTCTAAATAATGTAATACTTTTTCTAATTTTGATTATAATAATAATTATTATTATTATGCCTGTGCTATTCTGTTTTCAGAGCCTTCTCAGACGCTTCATAAAGCAAGACGTCCAGGTTGATGTTTCCCCAGTAAAGCTGGTCATGCTTGATGTGACAGACCAAAGGCTTTGGGTCAGTCCAATGCAAGTGGACATTGGCATGGGAGCCACAGCTGCCCTCAAGGTAACATTTATTATCTTAGATGACTTCAACAGTGTGCTATAGCAGCTGCAACATCACTTGACTAGTGAAGTAATTATGTTGAAAATTAAGAGATTAGATGAATTGTTTAGACATCAAGCAGCTGACATATTAACTGGATTTGTCAAATGTTGTGTAGTGTAAGTTACACTTAGGGAGAGTTTAATTGATGTTTCAGGTGACACTTGTGACTTTTGTGCTTTTGTCAGGGAATGTCGGGCAGTCAGAGTGGTGGAAGTGAGCGTGATGTGTTACTGTTCATCCGAGACAGCCAGAGTGCTCTGTCACAAATTTGTCACAACATTCTATTAAAGTGCCCACTGAAGTACCCCACTGGCCGAAATACGATGTGCCTGGACCCCCAAAAGATGCTCCCTGAACCAGACACATGCCTGCAAAAAAATGAAGGCCCTCATCATGAAATTTGTGCAGGACAAGAAGTTGTCAGGAGGAGTCACAGTGGGTAATATGTGTAGACATAAGACATGTGAACAATATGCCTAGTGTTTAGCAAAGAGAGTCTTTGGGCTCCTAAATCAGTGGTTTTAAAAGTGGATTCCAGGTGTCCTTGAGGGGCAAGAAGGGGAATCATTTATTTTCACTAAAATTCTTCATAGATAACACAGTGACAGAATGTATGTCTATTTTGGTCATGGGATTCATACACTTTATGTAATAAAACATCTAAAAGCAAAAATCTTAAAAGATGGGTATTTGTGGTCTAATTTGTGTCAGTTTAGGGTTTATTTTGCCATATTTTAGATGTAGAAGTTTAACTAGCCTGTTGTTTTGCAGTTCATCATTTTAGTTGTATTTTATCATTGGAAATATAGCCTAGTATGAGTTATAACAAATGTCTGTAGGCCTAATATTTAACTGGAAAATAGTACAAATGTGCTTTACTTTATCTAAATGCAGGTGATGAGATTGCACAACAATTTCAGCAGTTCCTCTTCAGTGAGGCCAGAGGAGAGGAATTCATGGCCTTCAGTGTGTTGGACGGAAAATCACGAGTTGACAGCTTCCTGCATGAGGCCATGAATGGATATGCAGAACTTTGGAGCTTTGTGGAAAAGCTGCTGCTTCTGTCCCATGGACAAGCTACTGTGGAGCGTGGATTCTTCATAAACAAGGAGGTGGAGATGTGCAATATGAACAAGGACACTGTAGTCTCACAGAGACTAATCTGTGACTACGTGAGCATGTGTGGTGGAGTGCTCAAAGTGCCACTAACTAAAGAGCTGCTAAATGAGTGTACAACTGCACGCAATCGGTACAGGATCGACTTGGAAGATGAGAGGAAGAAAAAGGAAAAGACAAAACAGATGGACAAGAGAAAAAGGGCTGAAGATGAGCTTGAAGAGCTATGCAAGAAAAGAAGAACAATCTCAAGTGTGTGCGAAACTCTAGAGAAGGATGCAGATAGCCTTGGCAGAGAAGGCTGAGAATACAGCAGGGACCAAGATGGCAGAACTCATCACTAAATCCAACTTGATGAGAAAAAGATGCAAGGACAAGAGAGGGGAGTTGGTGGACCTAGACCGTGAAATTGAGAAGAGAGCGACAGAGCTATGCCACATGTCTTGAGGAGAATTTGGGATGTTACAAAACAATGGACCTCTCTGTTCATTGGTTTCTCTCGTTAAGTCATGTGATAACATTTGTGTTGTTTTTCAAACAGTTATGTACATTACTGCTTTAAGTGATGTAAGTGTTACTGTTATTATTCTGTCTCTTAATTTGGGAAAAAAGGTCCCTAATGAAAAATTTTTCTTAATTTGCACATTGCACATTATTGATAAAAAATGTGAAAAGTTAAGTTTTGTTTTTCAATGTAGGAGGCAATAAATTGTGTATTTTCTACCAAAGAAATTGTTTTGACATTTTAAATTATATTTGTTGAGGTCTTAAAAAGGTCCTAAAAAGCATTCAATTTGACTTTTAAAATGGTGCAAGAACCCTCTTAAACAACCTACAGTAAATAAAGGCATGGAAATGGGGTCAAATGTTATGGAAAAGTTGTTAATATTCATTGGTACAAATGTGTGGGAACCCAAACATCCCTGCTGGTCATGCAGGTCTACAGTCCACATGATGGACTGTGCTAACTAGATGATTTTCTCTGTCTCAGTCTTTTTCACTTCCTCTGCTATCACAGCAGACAGCGATCACTGTTAGCATACTAACTGTGCACTTCACCTCACACATTCTCACTGTATATTCCTCCCCCTGCTCTTTCTCCCCTCAGCTTCCTCTCATTTAGGGTTGCAGCGATATACCGGCTTCAAGGTATACTGTAATATAAAAGTTGACAGTTATCATACCTTGTACATTTGCTTATGTACAGTATTGAAAAAAAATGCAACTGGATGAAGAATCTCACCTTTATTTTACTTATTTTTATGAAGGAGACTTTTGCAACTGGCTTGTTTCATTTATAGTAATAAAATGTTTGTTCAACCATATCAAAACCTTTCTGTTTTCATTTCTTTTTAGGGTCATATTGACTGATAATAACAATAAATGTGTAATATCGTTATAAAACAGCAATATTTTTGGAGATAGTTGTACCGTTGTACCCTACTCTCATCACATATTGATTCCCCACAGTCTGGAGTCATACTGGTTCCTAATGTGCGTCTGTCCTCTGTTAGGAAACTGGGAATGGATATCTACTCCGGGACCTTTGCTCTCATCGGAGCTGCAGCCTTCCTTGGAGGCGTGGTCAGAATGACCATCAGTCTGACTGTCATCCTCATTGAATCCACCAATGAAATAACATACGGGCTGCCCATCATGATCACTCTCATGGTACACTGTCATGATATATATTTTAGCATTTTCTACTATCAACCAGTGTGCTGTGTTTTAATGAATCGGATTATATGAAATTATTTCATGTTTGTCTGACAACAATATTAAGTAAAGAGATGTGTTGATGAGTTCAGTGGTGTGTATGATCCAGTTGTGTATTTCCTGTTGGGTTTCACGTAGTAAATGGTTTTGTGTTGATTATCAGGTTGCCAAATGGACTGGAGATTTTTTCAACAAGGGCATCTATGACATCCACATCCAGCTGAGAGGAGTGCCACTGCTGGAGTGGGAGACTGAGGTTGAAATGGACAAGTAAGATTTGTTGTTTAACAAACAACAAAACTAAAGCTGAAAACACACTGGCGCCCCGCGCTGTGGCGCATCATGTGACACGTGTCAAGTGCCGCCCCTAGCACACACTGGATGTGTCGTGCTGCAGCTCATCAACAGGCGACCATGCAGAGTTATTACTACTTTTACTAAGAGATCTATACTTCTTCCACCTCTGCATTAGCTTAAAATCATGCTTGGCATTGGCTGCCAGTGTGGCCTTAAGAGCCGAAGGCCTTTCTTTTACTCTGGTGACTCCTCACAGCCATCTGAATGCAGCAGGTATCTGTTGCATCTGCAGTCTTTTATTGGATTGATGATGTCACTGTTATAGTGTGTCGGTGTTAGGCAGTAGTGATGCTACAAGTAGTGGCATTACTACAACATTTTTCTGTAGCGTGGTGGTAGCACTGCTATTTCCTGAATTAACCCTTTAAAAACTGACCTACAGCAGATGGCCACAGGAGATTGTTGTTTGTGTGATTCCATTTAAACAGATCAAAAATAAGAACTATAACAACTAGAACATTCAGTCTTTTAGCAGAAGAAAGCTAAGGCTTTTGGTTTAACCATCAAAGCATCATATCCTCATGTTACCTTACCTTACCTGCTGTGCAGATGTAGTATTTTGCCATATTTACACCGTAATTTCCCCCGGGAATTTTTAGATCATTGTCATAATCCTGTATCTATTGATCTAAATAAAAACCTTAATAGTTAGAACATTCAGTTTTTTTGTAGCACAAAGTTAAGGCTCCTGTCTTCCATGTCATCACGTTCTATGTTCATAATGATGTTGTTGCGCACATCGCATGTGGTGCAAAAATGCGCTCTGGCGCCAGCAAGATGAATAATGAATCCATTACAATGCCTTTACACTCCGCTCATAAAAAAAAAAAAAAGTTCAAATAACTTATGGAGTGTTAAGAAAGATGTTTCATGTTTATATATGTTCATGTCATGTTAATGATAATTTTAATACTTTTAATAATTCTTATGGTTTATTGACTTACATAACCTTTCAGCTGAGGTTCCACAGATTTTAGAAATATGAGGCATTTGAAGGTACTCTAAGAAATGGCATCACAGTTAGCAAAAATACCAATCTAGGCCCTGATGGAACATTTCTATTGCAGAGATCAAAGGGTTGAAGAGCTTTTCAGTAGCTTAGCTCTTTTATTGATCCAGAAGTGTAGTAGCTTCCACACAAACTACATTTTCCCAAGCATTTTTGAAGCTCAAGTGCTGTGGAGCGTTCTGCTGCGGTCTGAAATGAAACTGCTAAGCACCAGTAGGTGATGGCACCGCCATACACGGACGTGCATGTGTAGCTGACAGAGGCACTTCCATATGACAGTGACATCATGTACCAATCCTTGGGCTGATACCTACAACATTTCTGCTGCAGGGAAACACAGACACACAAGCTTGAGTTTACTTGATGGAAAGAATTAGACAAATGAAATACTGTACATGAGGTTTTAAATACTCTGACATAATACTTAGTATTATAGTAGTAGTAGTTTTAACACTGATCAGCAGCAAAGGTGAGGAGGTAGTGGTGTGTCCGAGGACTGTCTGTATCATATGAAACTCAGGAAAAAACAAGGTGCTCTTGAAAGAAATTGTCAGCACAAGGGAGGAAAAAATAAACTTCATGCATGAAGCATAAACAAATGTACCTGAATTAAGTTTTCATTTTTTAAAATTATATTTAAAAAACATGGCTACTTGCATTAAAACACCAACCTTTTTCGACCTTAAGTTCACCATATGATTCCCGAGCGTGGCACCGCTGCTGCTCACCGCTCCCTCAGGGGATGGGTCAAATGCGGAGAACAAATTTCACACACTCAGGTGTGTGACAATCAGTGGAACTTTACCTTTTACCTTTAAGACTTTCATTTTATTTTTTTCCATCTATGATACAGCAGCCATTTGACATGAATCAGAATACAAAAACAGTGAGTTCAGTCAGGGGTCGGCAACCTTTACTATCGGAAGAGCCTTGTTTGACCAAAATCATAAATTAAAATCTGTCTGGAGCCGCAAAGCATATTTGAGCCTTATAATGAAGGTAACACAGTTTATTAAGTGTAAATTAACCTATCAACAATACTAACAGGTCTGAACATTCATTATGTTTTACCACAAGGTGGCTGCTCTGCATTTGGCCATTTATGATTATTTTGTACGTTAATTTTGCAGTGTTGGTGGTGAAAGTAGATTGTATTTTCCTCCGAGACTTTTCCTTTTTGTGGACTTGGATCCACTGCAAGACTAGCTAGGGAGACTCAAGACTATCCACTGCTATTGAAGTTCGGCAAAATTTAGAGAAAAAGGGGCCAGGCCATAGATGTATGATGCACATTTTAGTTGATGAAGTGTTAAAACATATTTTTAATTTGGTGTATAGGCTTCACATTTGTACAACTGAAGACTGTAAGAATCGCTTTAGACCTACAACAATGATTTATGAACATTAAAACGTTAAATAAAAGAACTGTTATTCATTTCTATATAATTTTTTGGTTAACTCCACATGGAGCCACTGGAGAGGTGCTAAACAGCCACGGGTTGCCTAGCCCTTAGGTAAAGGAAACAAATACATATAAAGACTGAGTTACGTACAATAACTCAAAAGTAACTCAAAAAATGAATAGCTAAAACTAGAACAGGTGGTACAGTGGTACAGTGGTTAGCATTGTCGCCTCACAGCAAGAGGGTTCCTGGTGGGAACCATTGGTGAAGGTACCTTCCTTGTGTGTAGTTTGCATGTTCTCCCCGTGTCAGCATGAGTTTTCTCCGGGAACTCTGGCTTCCTCCCACAGTCTAAAGACATGCAGGTTAATTGGTGGCTCGAAATTGTCCGTAGGTGGGAATGTTAGTGTCAATGGTTCTGTCTCTTTGTACCACCCTTGTGATAGTCTTGTGACTTGTCCAGGGTTTACCCTGCCTCAAGCCCAATGTCAGCTTGTATTGACTTCAGCCCCCCTGTGACCCCCAAAAGGATAAGTGGTTACAAAAAATAAATTAATAAATAAATTAATAAAGCTAGAATAGATAAGAAAACCATAATTTACTCCAGTATTTGCAAATCATGCACTGTTAACTGATGTTAATATGCTACAGTGTGGTATGCTGTACATTAGTTTAAGATTCTTTTTGTTGCCAATTTGGTTTTTGAGCAGTGAGAACAGCTTATGGTTTTAAAAAAAAAACAATTTAACATAACACTTGTTGCCTGTCTATCTGTTTGACTGACAGTTTCATTGATCACTGAGACAGCATTGATTTGGAATGAAGTTGGTTTAATCTAAAGAAAAAATAACTTTATCGTAGTTAAACTACTTTTGCCATGTTGCTGTAGCTTAACTTCCTACATTTGTCCAGGTGGGCACTTCAGTGTACCTTCATTTCATGTAGAGTAACTGGCAGTTTTGCACACTACACTTTCTATGCAGCTTAGCCCTGTTAGTTGGTTTAAGTTTGAGCAGCTAGCATCAGGACTGTTGGAGTGTTAGGGACTTACACACTGAACAGAGATCAAGGTCAATTAAAGCTTCTCTCCTCTCTAAGAACTCCTTCAGGACTGTCTGTTCCTGCCAGTCCTCTCCCAGTGTCTCCATCCAAAAACAGCAGGTTACCGGGGGCAATGACTGTGCCCGTCATTTTCTTTTTACCAAGTCTGACCAACTAGCATATTTTTACTCACAATACAGGCAGACATGAGGCTGCAATGATCAACATGATGTGACAGTAGAATCATGTTTAGACATTTTACAATGTAGGCCCATAAACAAGGAGATTGTAATACAAACTTACTTATTTGTGGATCATAGACAGGATGAATGTGGTGTTCCTTTCAGGTAATTTAGGATAGGAAGGAAGGAGGATTAAGGGAATAGTTTTATTTCCAGTCTGTCAGTAGTTATTTCATTACAAAAAAATACTCATCTTGGGTGAATTCTAACAGTGCACTTCCTGTGTTTCTGTTATCTGTGTGTTATCAAAGATTGACAGCCAGTGACATCATGGAGCCCAATTTGACCTATGTGTACCCCCACACCCGGGTCCAGTCTCTGGTCAGTATCCTGCGCACCACAGTTTACCATGCCTTCCCTGTGGTCACTGAAAACCGGCAGAATGAACGGGACTTCATGAAGGGCAACATCCTGGTCAGCAACAACATTCGCTTCAAGGTATGTCCTGTGCCATTTAACATTTTTAGCGGGTAAAGCCCAGCCTCATATCCAGAGGGAGCTGGATAAAGAGAGGAGGGGCTGAGTGTCCTGCCCCAGGATATTTTAGGAGTCAGGAATGACCTTGTGAATTTGAAACATTTCTCTGATGATGCTGCCAGTCTACCAGCAATTTATACTGTATGGCTAAAGCATGAAAATAAAACGTCTGCCTGTGTATGTTCTCAACTCAACTCTTTACATATAAACTAAGCACAAAAGTAAGGAAATTTGTGTTTGGTAGATTATTTCTTTGTTGTAACAATGCTTCTTGGCAATAAATCTTATACTGTTGGAAAGTCTTTTTATTTCCCTTTTAACTGTTGCCACATTTGTAAAGAACATGCATTTGTGGGATGAGCAGCAGAGCTGAGTATGTGGGTTGCGCCCATGAAAAACTTGCCAAATCTTCTCTTCCAATGCCAAACAGCTTTTTTTGCTGTTGCCATTGACTCTTGTTTTGAGCTTCTGTTACCCCCAGGTGCTGACAATCAGCACCTGTCAGCATGGGCCCTGCTACAGTGGTCAGTGGTGTCTGCTCCAAGAATTGGCATGCCACGTTTGACTGATCTGGGCAACTTCAAGCTGGGGTTCTGCAAAACCAAGTTGCGGCATTATTTGGAGTGAGTCCTAATACTATCTGAAGGCCAAGTTCCATATAACGGGGGATGTCAGAGACAGGACGCGAAGTGGGCGTCCCAAGAAGACCATTTCCTCATCCTGTCAGCACTTAGGAATGTAGGCAGTCTTCTTCAGATTTGCAGTCAAGTTTTGCAGACCGACGGCTCTCTGCCCAGACAATCCGGAACAGACTGCACGTGGTGTTCATGCTAGAGTGACCAACCGAACCACGTTGACTGAGTTGTGACAAATGCTGGTTGAAGAATGGGATGCCATCCCACAGCAGTGTGTCACCAGCATGAGGAGGAGGTGCCAGGCTCTTCCAATATGTCTTGTTTCTTCAGACTTCAATCATCCAATGCACCAAACAACACTAAACAAGAGTCAACAGCAAAAAAAAGCTGTTTAGCATAGGCAGAGAAGATATGGCAAATTTTTCATGGGCGCAACCCAGTTCAATTCAATTTCAATTCAATTTTATTTATAAAGCCCAATATCACAAATCACAATTTGCCTCACAGGGCTTTACAGCATACGACATCCCCCTGTCCTTTGGACCCTCACGGCGGATAAGGAAAAACTCCCCAAAAAAACCCTTTAACGGGGAAAAAAACAGTAGAAACCTCAGGAAGAGCAACTGAGGAGGGATCCCTCTTCCAGGATGGACAGACGTGCAATAGATGTCATACAGAACAGATCAACATAATAAATTAACAGTAATCCGTATGACACATTGAGACAGAGAGAGAGAGAGAGAGAGAGAGAGAGAGAGAGAGAGAGACAGAGACAGAGAGAGATGCAGGACAGACGGTAATGACAGTAGCTTACAGCAACATTAATGAAAGTAATAATATTATAATTAATAATAATATATTAATATCTGATAATATACATGTGTGACAATAATCATATGTGTATAATAACAGTAGAAGTATGACTAATGATGACAGCAGCAGCAGGAGGCATCTGGCAGGACCACGGCAGCAGCACAACCACACACATCACACTATCCAGGCACCACTGCAATATGAGTTAACCTGAGAGACAGTGGAGCACAAAGGCTCCGGAGAAGAAGCCGAGTTAGTGACATCCAGAATGGCCGAGTTAGCAAGATGCAGTAATAGGACATGAGAGAGAGAGAGAGAGAGAGAGAGAGAGAGAGAGAGAGAAGGTGCCTGGTGTATTATAGGGGGTCCTCCGGCAAACTAGGTCTAAGTCAGCCTAACTAGGGACTGGAACAAGTAGCCTGAGCCAGCCCTAACTATAACTATAACTATAATCTTTATCAAAGAGGAAAGTCTTAAGTCTAGTCTTAAATGTGGAGACGCCTCCCAGACCACAACAGGAAGATGATTCCACAGGAGAGGAGCCTGATAGCTGAAGGCTCTGGCTCCTGATCTACTTTTGGAGACTTTAGGGACCACGAGTAACCCTGCATTCTCAGAGCGCAGTGTTCTGGTGGGATAATATGGCACTATGAGCTCTCTATGATATGATTGAGCTTGTCCATTTAGAGCTTTATATGTTAACAGTAGGATTTTAAATTAAATTCTGGATTTTACAAGGAGCCAGTGCAGAGAAGCTAAAACAGAAGAAATATGATCACATTTCTTAGTTCCTGTTAGTACACGTGCTGCTGCATTCTGAATTAGCTGGAGAGTATTAAGGACTTACTAGAGCTACCAGATAATAGAGAGTTACAGTAATCCAGCCTTGAGGTAACAAAAGCCTGGATTTTTCTGCATCTTTTCGGGTCAGGATAGGCCTAATTTTCGCAATATTACGCAGATGAAAAATTGCAGTCTGTGAGGTTTGTTTTAAGTGAGAATTAAAAGACAAATCTTGATCAAATGTTACTCTGAGGTTTCTTAAGGTAGTGCTAGAGGCCAGAGCAATGCCATCTAGAGAAACTATGTCATCACACAAAGAGTCTCTGAGTTGTTTCAGGCCAAGAACAATAACTTCAGTTTTGTCTGAATTTAACATCAGGAAATTGGTGCTCATCCAGGTTTTTATGTCTTTAAGGCAATTATGAAGTTTAGTTAATTGATTTCTTTCTTCTGGCTTCATAGATAAATACAACTGCGTATCATCCGCATAACAATGGAAATTTACAGAGTGATTTCTAATGATGTTACCTTAAGGAAGCATATATAGAGTAAATAGGATTGGTCCGAGCACAGAACCTTGCAGAACTCCAAAACAAACTTTAGTACGTAAGGATGACTCATTATGAACGTCAACAAACTGAAAACGATCAGATAAATAAGATTTAAACTAGCTTAGTGCAGAACCTTTTAGGCCAATTAAGTGTTCCAGTCCCTGTAGCAGAATTTGATGGTCAATTGTGTCAAACGCCGCACTAAGATCTAATAAAACAAGTACACAGACGAGTCCTTTGTCTGAAGCAATCAGAAGGTCATTTGTAATTTTAACTAGTGCTGTCTCAGTGCTATGATGCACTCTAAATCCTGACTGAAATTCCTCAAATAAATTATTATCATGGAAAAAATCACACAGCTGGTCTGCGACTACTTTCTCAAGGATCTTTGACATAAAGGGAAGATTAGATATTGGTCTATAGTTGGCTAACACCTCTGGATCCAG